GCACGGTCCTGGCGGAGAACCGCGTTCTACCCACCCTTCCTCTGCGCCGCCACTTCCCCAGATCTCCGCGGCACCCGCGGGCTCATTACCTTCCTCTCCCTTCTCCAGATCCGCAGTGTCGTCATTTGCCGACAAAGGGAAGGACCCCTGGGCTGTGAGTATGTGATGCCCGTTGCCTGCTTTCTCAGAGGGTTACAGACCACCTTCCCTCCCACCTGCTCCCCGCCGGCCTCCTGCTCCCACCCTCCCTCCTCATTCGTGCTGTCACCGAGCTCCCAGCGCCCCACCGCAGTGACCACGTGCTGGGGCACTCATGGTGGCAACCCCTTGTCCCTTAAACTGGTGAGAATGTGTGCTCTCACACTGTCTGCAAATGCCAGCAAAATCCAACACAGTGGCAGGGAAAAATGAAAAGGGTGGGGAGGAAAGTGCAGGCGTGAGGACAGCTCCGAGTCTCTGCGATGTGCCCCTCGGCCTCCCCACACAACCCAGGGCCGCCCTTTCCCTCTCTCACCTTCCCTGAAGGCCCCACCCCACCGTGGGTCTCTGAGGGAGCTCCCCTGTGAACTCAGGCTGTCCCCTAGCTTTAAAGCACTCCCTGCTATTTCAAGTTTTGGTTTCAGATAAGCTGTTTTCTGAGGTTGTGGAAACTTCACTTATATTCTTTTTCTTTCTTTGCCTCATTCACTATATATATATATGAAGCAGCAGCCCCCAAGCCTGGCTTCTGCAAGCCCTTTTGAGATCTCCCGAAGGTCTGTGTGCAAGAGGAAAAGAGATTTGTCTGTTTATAGCACATTTAATTAAGACAGTTTTGTGCCTTGAACTCTTTGGGCTCCCAATGAATGCATTTTGATTTGAAAAGTCAAATAGAATCACGTCTTACACTTGTGGGGCCCCCGTCAGCCAGCCAGGCTGGGGACAGACGCTGTTGTCCTTCTACACCAGCCTGGACCTGGTTGGCAAGTGCCCTGCAGAGCTTGTCACCCTGCCTGTCCCTTGGTGACCCCCAGGCACTCTTCTGGCGAGACCCAGGCCTTCCAGGTAAGGGCGTGAAAAGCTGAACACCCAGAGCGTTCCTGGTTGCCCTTAGCTAAGGAGCCTGGCATTAAGATCCCACTTCTCGGCTTCTGAAACACTCCAAAGCTCCAGGCCACAGTTCCTCACCCACCCCTCAACCAAACCCAGCAGTTTTCAGGGCAGAGAAAGCAGGAGAGGCAAGTCTTTCCTTCTCCCCAGTTGTGCTTCCAGCAATGTGCCCTCCCCCCAACCCAGACTTAGGTGCTGGACTGCAGCTGGAGCGTTTTTCTAATTTGTCATCATTGGAAAACTCAGACAATTGGAGTGTAACACGTTAAGGGCTTCCAGGAATATGCTGACATCAGACACTCAATGGAAGGGGCAGGAGGACTGAGACTCGGGGACAGGAATAGCGACAGACATTCCAAATGCTCTCCCGGACTTCCCTCTCTCTGCAGCCTAGTTGCACCCTCTCAAGGCACTTGTCCACCCTTCCCTCCCCTCCCCACCTACTCCCCTCCATCCAAACCCCGCAGCCCACCGTCTTGGGAAGCACCCCCTTCATGTCTTTAGCCCTCAAAAAGAAAAGAGGAGACAGTGAGGTGACAGTCTCTCACGCTTTTCTCCTCCCCAGACATTGTCTTGAGATCCAGGACTCAGACACCCCGGCCACATTGCCCACAGTAGTTGCTACGCGGTGTGTGTGCCTCTACTATTTCTTTCAGCTCTCCACCTCCAACACCCAGGGCCAGCGCCCGCGTTCCCATCCCCACCTGCCCCCTCCACGGTTCTGACCCCTGGGAAGCTGCAGACCTGCTACTAACTTCATCATACTATCTACAATGGTCTCCTTGGTTTTCAGTAGATTTGGAATTCAACAAAAGTAACCTTATTTTTTAAATTTATTTATTTTTTTAAAGGAATTGAGGCTTTTGAAACATTCTGAGCATGCCTGCGGTTTGGGGAGGGGGGTGTCTCCGAGGAGTTTTCCTGAAAGCTCTTGGGAACAAACAGCCACCTTTGCTGTTGCCAAGGCCTTGAAGGGGTTGGCTCTCCTGGGCTTTGTATGCTTCAGTTCCTGGGCACCCCTGCCCCCTAAAAAAGGGCTTCCTGCAACAGGGGTAGGAGGATTAGGTTGGAGAGTCGAGTTTCCAAGGGGCTTTTTTCTTTTTTGCTTTGTTTAAAAAATTTGTTTTTCTATTTCTGTGGAGGACGGATCCCAGCACTAGAAGGGTGCAGCAGTTGGCCCCAAGGCCGGTGACTCGCCCCTCCCATATGCGTCAGGCAGCAGCGGGTGACAGCGTGATGTTAGCGCTGGAAATACCGCCTGGCAGTGCATTGATCCATGGCTTCTAGCTGAGGCCCGGTCACCCTGCTCGTGTTCGCAGGTTGCCTGGGGGTGCCTGTGCCTGCTTGTGGGTGTTGGGGGGGCGGGGGCCGGCCTGGTGCTGCATTTACCTTCCCACCATCTTCCCGAGCGGGGCTTGAATGCGGACGCAGTGAATGAATCCGTGAATCAGCTCCACAGCGGAGGGGCCTTCTGCGTTAAATGGGCTGTGTGCAGCTGCGGCCGACTGCCCCTCCCCTCCTCTGAGCAGGCTTGAGGTGGCCCAGGAGCCCCGCCAGCAGCCCCCGCCCCTCAGGCGGAGCTCGGGCCCTGGCAATCTCTGCACTTTGTCATCACGCCCGAGTATTTGACATTCGCAATTATCTGCAAATACCCTGATCGGTTTGTATATGAAACACTTTTTTTCCTGCCTAAAGGTTGAAATCTGGTAAGTTTCAGACAAGTGGTTGCGGGGGGAGGTGACCCGGGGGACCGGCCCGGTGAACCCAACTGGGCGAGGTGGGCGACAAAAAGGGACGGGTTCTGCGCGCTACCCCTCCTCCCCCAGCCTCGCTCCAAAGAAAGGCCCCGCGGAAGTAAGGAAGGGCCCAGGAGGCAACCCTGGGGTCCTCCTCTGAAAGGAGTCAACCCCCCCCAATCCCTGTGGGAGGGGGGGCAGCCTGCAGGGAGAGTGGGGATCCCACTAGAGGCAAACCCGGAGGTTAATAATTTTGGTAACCGGAAAGGGCGCTGGCGGCTTGGCCTGGTTGCCATCACTGAGTGTCAGTCACCAGCTCTGGACTTCACCGCAGAATTACCTGCTCGAAGAGCTATGCCAGAGAGCCCTCAGCTCCAAGCCCTTCGTGCCCGCCGTCTTAGGGAAGTAAACCGCGTCCTCTTTCAAAAGAAGCGGATGTGCGTTTGACCCTCCTCCGCCCCCAGACGGTTCCTCAGTCCAGGAGGGCACGCCAGCCCCGGATCGCTCAGCACTCCTAACATCGCTGCTTCGAGCTATCTGCATACACTACACAGCCCGTCGACAAAAAGTAGTGGTGAAGGCAGGGAGGATAAAGGACGGAGATTTACTGGTCTGATTTTTCTGCAGCCTTAGGAGACTGATCCTGGCCCCCGGCTGAGCCCAGGGGCCTCGGGCCCAGGCACTGGGAGGCCAGACCCCGGCGCTACGAGGTGCAGGCAGTCGGGGCGCCTCCTCCCGGTACTCCACCGCGCCTCACGTACAGCGTCTCTCTCGGAGGCCAACAAGTCGAGCCCCTTTGTAACGGGTGTATCAGTAACTTGAGCAACACCAAGCATTTAGTGAAGCCCCCAGTGAAGCCTCCTCCCCACGCACTTAGCTTGCAGCTCTGCTACAGACACTGCGCTGAGCTGCTTTTCACACACATACCACTCACATTTTCCGGGACAGTGGGAGGGGGTCAGGTTGGAGAAAGGTGGGGGAGGGGGTATTGCAACACCTCCAAGAAAAATTGCGGGGGGACGGAAGGGGGGAGTTTAGGAAGTCTGTCTGTGTAAAAGCCCAACCGCCAAATAACTGGCTTATTCTGAAAAGGAAGAGAAAGGGAGAGGCAGAAGGGAAACAGATTCCTTCCTCCCGACTCCCAACTCCCTCCCAGTGCCCACAGTCCAGGTCACCCAGGCCGGGGACGCAGCGAGTGCTGCTGAGAGGACATCAGCGCTCCTGGCTCCGGATCAGCCCGTGTGGGCCAGACAGCGTGGTGGGCTCGAGAAGGTCCTTACAGTCTCCCATGGCGCCCTTGACCCACAAGAGCCCCATGCAGAAAAGGCAGCTGAGAGGACTGCACTCCCAAGCCACAACCCCTGCCCGAGACTTCCCAAGAAGCAGCCCGCAAAGCTCAGAACACCGGCTTCTTTTCCCTGGACTCCTTGGAGCTTGGGAAGCTCCAGGAGTCGGGCTGCGGACACCAACCCAGGCCCTTAGATTAGGACCCTCTTTGGCCTTGGATGCCAAGTTCGGGTGTGGAGGGCCCAGGCTGCGTGAGGCTGGAGAGTTTCTGCCTGGGTCGGGGTAGGAGTGGGTGGGTCACAACCTCAGCGGGACACGCGAAGTCTGGAGAGACCCCCTGAGCCTAGCACTGCTTCCAGGACGGCGCTCAGCCTGCGGAGAAGGAGGTAAGGGCAAGGTGTCCCGTAGAGAATCAAACCTTCACCCCTTTATTTCCTATCACTTTTTAATGTCCATATCTTAGGTAGATGTATGATTGCTGTATTCCAGCAGCTTATCCTACATAAAATGTCCCAAAGATTGAGCGAAAAACTGCGAATTTAGCTTCTCAGGTGATCGCTCTTCAATATTGCGTTCCCTACCCAACAACCTCGACCGTGGGTACCAAGGGCAACTCCCACTTTGGCAAAATTGATGGCTGTTCCGGCCAGTGGAGTGTGCATGGCCCAACCCAGTGCGCCAGAAATGCACCCTCGTCGGAGCTCCTACACAGCGCACCCCTAACCGAACTGGCGTCCCCAAGCACGTGCAAGCATCCTCCCGCTTTGAAATGAATCGGCCTGTGTCTTTCATCCCAACCGGTTTTGCCTTTGGGGCGCTACCCCGACCGAGTCCCAGGAGATAAGTCCTGAAGGCGAGAGCCAGTGGCTTAGGGGCTCCTCTGCTCACCTGGACTGGAGGCACTGGAAGGCCCCAGTTAACTATCGGTTGTATCAGGAGTGATGGGTGTGAAGTGGCCGCGCGCCGCAGAGGCGCTCGCTCTCCGCGTCCGGGTCTCCGAGGGCATGCGGTGGGCTGGGCTGACTACCTGCAGCGCGCGCGGATCCCAGGCCAGGAAACAGGCAGCGGTGTCGTGGGGCTGACCGGTTACCTCTCCAGGGATCGGCCCTGACTTTGTTGGTAACTTAAGCGCCTCCGAACTCAGGGAATGCGTGTTGGGGCACCTCCTTGCACGCAACCCACCCAACCTCTGCTTTCGGAGCCTCTCGTCTTTTCCTCCACCCTCTTGCCCCCCAACCCCCCTTCCCCGCTCCTGTTAGAGGCGCCCCGCGGACAGTCGGTTTACCGAGCCGCGGGTTCAGATGTTTATTCCCAGCTAATTGCTTATGCAGGAAAATGCTTGTTACCCGGGCTGAGAGCTTCCGCCCTGCCCTGGCCGACCTAGCCAGCCGCTCGCCGACCCCACCCGCGCAGCCACGAAAGAACCGGCGGCAGCGAGGCGGCTGTGCCACCCAGGACCCAGCCGCTGGCACTGCTCCGCTCTCCCGGTAGGGGGAGCAGCCGCCGGCGTCAGGCCGGCCCGGGTCCAGGCCCTAGGTCGGCCCTCCTGTTGGCATCAACCCGGAACCTGTAGCGTAGGCGGCCTTCTCACCTGCCCTCCAGGTGCTCCCTGCCGGCAGAGAAGGGCACATAGAGCCGAACCCGCTCCTAACTCCCGGTTGCTTCAGAGCAAAGACCATAGGCGAGACCGAGACAGAAGTATATTCTTTAGGTCTAAATACAGTTAAAGAAATGTGTAAGGTGAGGAGATTACCTCCTTTGCTCACATTCAACGGGAGGGGGGGGACACAGAACAAAATATAGGTGGGTATATAGCGATGTGTACATATATAGTGATGTATACATATATAAAGTGCTCTTCAACAAATTTTGAGTCTTTAAAAAAAATTTAGGGGCTGTAATCCCCTCTTTCTGTGTTGACAAGTCGCTTATTTCCAGGAGCTTTAGATGGTCCCAGCACAAAACAGGAGCTCAGGTGAGACCTTCTGGCTTTGCTGCAGTAATATGGCCAAGAGATTTTTCTTTCTTCCTGACTCCATATGCTTAAGTAAGGATTCAGAAACTTTCATTTTAAGATATGACCAATGTTTAGAGAACAACCTTAACCCAGGGTTAAGGGAAACTCGCAGACCACCCCACTGTGCCCAGGGCGGCTGCACACTTGCGCTGCCAGACCAGAGATTCCTGGTCAACGCCAACAGATCAAAGCCTTCTGGTTGTCACACAAAACTCCTTTCAGGAACCCACAACTCATCAGAGCTCTCCCAAAGCCAAGTCATCAAAGTCTCTTCAGGGAGAATAACAAAAGCAACGAATTTCACTCTTGGAAGGAAACTTAAAGACCATCCAGTCTAACAGTTGTAATTCACTGGTGAGGAGCCGGATCTGAATAAAGGCGGAGAATCCCGCTCCAGCTGAGGAAGCCCCTGAACGCTGAGCTGGGGCTGGAGCTCTCTCCCTCTGGCCCCAGGGGGGGCCAGGGCAGTTTTGAGCACAGGGCATTAGAAATACCTTTTACTGTTCTCATTATCCTTGCCATTCTGACTATGTTGCCACACATTTTAGAGTTCTTTGTAAGGCATACTCCTTTAGTAATATTGTAATAAAATCTTCAAGGTGTGTGTGAAAAGAGTATTACAGTTGCCTCAAGGGTGGCTAAATTTTGGAAGTGAAGTTACAGTACGGCAAGGAAGCATTTGGAAGGAAAACTAAGCAAAAAGAGTTGAACATTGGATATATACAAATGTGTGAATGAACAAATGAATGAAACAAACACAACATACATAGGATTGCGGTATTATGAAGGCATTCTCCCATGTTATATAATTTTGCTCCAAAAATAAGAGCTAATTTAATGTATTTAAATGTTTGTTCATAAACTTTTCAGTGTTAAATTCTGGCTTATTTTTAAGGACCAAGGTGAAAGAATATAAACATTTTAAAAATTAGATTTGAAAAAAATAAAACTCTGATTTTTAACAAGTTGGTTTAGCTACAGTAGCAGACATTTTCTGAATGAAAGATTAAGGGATAAGAAAATCTTCCCCACTGATTTTGTAGTACTCCCTGAGATATAAATGATATTTTATCAGTCTTTCCATAATTATCCCCTTTTTATTTTTTGATAAGGTGAACACCAAAGTTATTGACAAAGACACTGCACTATTCCTCTTTATATCTGGCTCACAAAGGCAAAGACATACATTATCAAATGGAAAAGTCTCAGTCTCTTTCCGTAACTAACGTCCGATCTCTAGCAAATGGAGCTGTGCTGTCATTGAAATGGGTATTGGACAAGGTATCAATTGATTTATTGATTTCCCTTCTTCAAGTCCTTCAGGAATTGGGGAGAAGAAGAGAAAGCTTAGGTTGGCTGAGATATGCAATACTTATTCTATCATACACATGCAAAAATTATACTTGGCTGATAAAATTGACAATTCGGAAGCATCGCTTACAGAAAGTCATAATGGAATGACATTGAGGCCACTCAGCTCATCAACCTGCCTCTCCCCTACCCTGTCATTTTATTTGCCTTTCTGACTGTATGTAACCTTTCAGAAGCCAAAAAACACTAAGTTTTCAGCAAGCCTACATACCATGGGAGCAGGAGGGATAGAGGGAGTTCACAGGGAAGGAAACAGAATAGACACGTTTGCTTTCACATGCAAAACCCACAAGCCCTGCTCTACAGCCCTAAAAGCTGGGTCGTGTTACTGAGGGCTGGCACTTGCTGAGGATCTCACAAGGAGTCTCTGTGGTCCTCACGCTGGAGTGACTGCCCACCTGGGGGGTCTAAGCATCTTGTGGCCTGAACCTGTGATGGTTCACAGCAGAGTCATGGCAATAAAGAAAATAGGCTGCTCTGATTGTCTTTGGTTTTGTAGGAGACGATTTCAAAGCCAAGCTCACTGAACCTTTTCCTTCTTCTTTTTTTTTAACTTTTAATCCGAGTCCTGTTAAAAATGCCAACTAAACCGCCTGGAGAAACTCTACATTGTAATATCTGCCTAGAAATTGCCACACGCAACATATCTACAGCAAAGCTGAAGATACATGAATAAAAACAAACCTCAGAATTCCTTTCCCTCTGTACTCTGTATAGGTCAGCTGCACTGAATAACAGGGAAGATTTACTATAATGCATTCTCAACAAAACTAAATATTAGTTACTTTTTTCCATTGTTCCCTCCCACTACTCCAGAAAGAACTGAACATTTGTACCTTCCAGAGCTTTCTATTCATTTAGTTCAATCTTCTGGGCTTAGCACCATGATCTAGGAAATTCCTACTCCCTAAGGTGAGTCACCTTTTCTCAGCCTTGTGTCTGCAGGAGTGGGCAGAAAGATATGGCAAAGAGAGCTTCTCTCTCCCACCTACCAGGAGAGGGGTGTGCTTCCAGAATATGTGTTTCATTTTACCCCAGTCATGGGCCCCCTCTGGAGGCTGGAGTCTAGGCATTCCCTTCTCCCAGAGAAACTGGATGGGGATGCCCATGAATAAGGATCTGAAAATTGCCAGCACCTCTCTCCTCACCCTAGGGAATGCTACTGGTGAAGAAGGTCGCGCACAGGGAAGTATGAGGGAGGAGAAAGGGGAAAGGAGAACTGGTATCACACTTAAGGAGATCATGCCAGTGTGTGTTTGGAGCTGGTACAGGAAAAAACTCTCTTTTTAAAAAGATTAAATTTATTTAAATTATAGTATCCACCTTGTTTAATGACTATTAAAAACTCTTAAAATTTCTGTAAATATTGAAGAGGAAATGAAGCTTTGTGCTTCAGCATTTTAAACCTACAGGGTAATTATATTTTGTCTTTGTCACCTACTAGCAGGGTAAACCTAGGGAGGCTAACTTACCTCTCTGAGCCTCATGTTTCAAATTTGTCAAATGGGCATAATGTCCACAGCTATCTCATAAAAATTTTGAGGATTCAATAAAATATTGCATATGAATTGCTTAAAACAGTTTGTGGAGCATAATAAAAACTTTGAAAATGAGTTCTTTCTCAAACCTGTGTACCCCAATGTTCATAGCAGCACAATTTACAATAGCCAAGTGCTGGAAGCAGTCTAAGTGCCCATCACTAAATGAATGGATCAAAAAACTATGGTACATTTACACAATGGAATTCTATGCAGCAGAAAGAAAGGAGCTCCTGCCCTTTGCGACAACATGGATGGAACTGGAGAGCATTATGCTAAGTGAAATAAGCCAGGCGGTGAGGGACAAATACCATTTGATCTCACCTTTAACTGGAACATAATCAACAAAAGAAAAAGCAAACAAAATATAACCAGAGATATTGAAATTAAAAACAATCTAACAATAGCCAGAGGGGAGGGGACAGTAGGGGGAAGAGTTTTCAGGAACTACCATAAAGGACATGGACAAAACCAAGGGGGTGGGGGCGGTGGAAGCAAGGGAGGGAGGTGGGATTGGCTGGGGTGAGGGGGAGTGGTAGGGGGAAAATGCAGACAACTGTAATTGAACAACAATAAAGTAATTTTTAAAAATTTTAAAATAAGAAAATGGGTTCTTTCAACTCAGTATGCAAATCACTGAATGTGAATAAGCAGTTAAAGGTTGAATCATGTTGTTCTCTTAGATTCATTTTTTAGACAAAATAATGCAAAGAATCTTATATTACTTCATCACAAATGGAATTTCTTTTGAATTGTATTAAGCAACTCTTTAGTCCCTTTTCCTTAATCTATTGCACTCTTTCTCCCTGCACCAGAGGCTCCTTAGCTGGGCCAGATGGACAGAGATTAGCAGGACTGTCTGCCAGGAAGTCCTTTCAGACTCTTCCACGGAGGGCTGTGCTCAGGCTGGTAGACCTTTTATCATGCAGTCCCAGGACATTATCCTGGCTCGGTGTAAGCAAAAAGACACTTAGAGACTGTCTTCTCGTCTTTGATTCTTGCTACCAAATATTGAGAAAACTGTAGGCTCATTCCCAGAAACAACTCTCTCACCCTTCTGCATTAAACTTGCCCAGGAACTAATATTGTTTTGTTTGATGTTGAAAAAAATATAAAATATTGCTATTTTCCTCTCTATTACAGTCATTTGATTTTATGAAAGAAAATGATTATGCCTTGCTGGGTTGGGCAATACTCTCCATCCAGTTTATAAATTCCTATGTTGTTCTCGTCATGGCTGGATTTTTCTCTGGACTGTGTTCCTTTA